CCACTGTGACTAGTAAAGATTTTCTTATTTCAATCCATCCCTTACACGTTTCGGTCTTTACAGACCATCTTCAGAGGGACATCAATGCAATCAGAAGCCACTATTACACTATGTTTTTTAATGTTAAAATATATAAATGTAATGTTTTAACAATGACAGCGGCTGTCTTAATATGTTAAAATGTTAACAGTTAAGATTTTTGTTGGGAATTGTAAACCAAGTTAGTTCGTGTCATATTTATTATTTCTTCTCTTGAAGGGGGCCAAACATGTGTCGCCTTACAGTTCTTAAGAAGAGGATTCTTTAATGTCATGCTGTAGGTGTTCATGGCGTGCTATGTTGCTTTTTCACCATTCTTCAAAATGGTTCAGTAAAAAGTCTCCTTCCACACAAACCTGATATAACAAATTTTATAGCTTAAACACAGCACAAATTACACACAACAGTGACAGCACTAATAATACACCAGATAAAATAATTCATAACGAGCTGCCAACGTGCATTGTGATGATAATATTTTTGAACTGTGTGTGCAAAACTTCCTCTAACCTCTGTAATTTCACTGTGTAATCAGATACTTAATTTCAGATTCAAAGAGGTTGTACTTTATAAAGCATGTTATTCAGATATAAGTAATTACTGCAATGTAACCTGGTTGTAGATGTTAAAATGTTATATTTTGGTGTAGGTTTCTGCTGTCCATTATCACCTGACCTAATTTTCACTGCCTGTGGTAATGGTAATCTTCATTATACTGTACCACCAAAGAAATTCTGACACGAGAATACTGAAAGTTAAAAATACAGTTCAATTCAGTTTATTTCAAATTCAAAAAATAGATCCAGATACAAGCTGGGAAACAAATATAGAATGAGTCACAGATCAAAAAAACAAACATTCCATTCCCACAGGAACAAGTCAAGGCATTCATAATATAAAACAAAATAAAAAAGAACATAGCCATATATACAACAAAACTCCCCCAGTTTGGGACTCTCAGGGGTTTCAGGCGTCAGTACAAGCTCTTTTTTCATTTTCATTACTCATCTATTATTTCCATAAAATCCAATACTTTAGGATGTGGAAAAGTCATATTAGATAAATAAGTAGTACAAAGAACGAAGTCAAGACATAAGAATAGAACCAGAATACAATTAAGCTTATCGACTAGTATGTACAAAAAATTCATCCACAGTATAAAATGGGTGACAAGTCAAGGCATTCATAATATAAAACAAATAAAAAAGAACATATCAGCTATATATACAACAAAAACAACATAGGTGAAATGATATGAGGATACTAGCAAAACTGGAAAAATTATTTGGAGAGAGAGTAGCATTCACAATTGGTCTTCTTTTACCAATCTATGACATGACGACACTTAAGATGGTGGAAACTTAGATGAAGATATGAAGACCATGTTAAAATTTATATGAACAAGTTGTAGGAACAGACCTTAACAGTGTAATCCCACAAACTTTACGAAGATGTTGACCCCTTAACATTTGGTATGACAGATATGTTGTGTATTGTTATAATGAAAGTTAGTTTTCTTTCTTTCTTTTCCTTTTTTTTTTTTCATTTTTTCATTTGTGCACTCTAGTAACACTTCCAAGTAGAAATGTTACCCAGCTTCTTCCACGAGACAGAAATGACTTCCAGAAGCCGGGGAAAAAAATGCATCAGTTACTAATATGCATATTAGTACACATCGCCAAAGTAACATTTTGTGACATGTTGCGCTATGGATGACGCCCCTCCCTCCCTGCCAGCCATGACATGCCAAGCGGAGCCGAAGTGAGCCGAGTCCAGGCACGCTGGTTGCTAGGCAAAGCGAGTAAACAGTGGTTGCTAGAGACGACAGTAATAACAGCGGTACCCATTATGTAACAGGCAAACACTGCGACTATATAAGGGAACTACAGATCCGCCAAAGACAGTTGGAAGTTAGTGTGTGATCAGGAGTGACACAGTCGAAGGATAGCAGCAGTCGCGGAAAGAAGAACCAGATGTGTATGATAATCAGTGATAGTTTGTGATAATTGAGAAGTAATTGGGAGTGTGTAACACAGTGACACATATAGCTCCTGTACTATGAATACGTGTAGACTACTGAAGATAGAGTGAACAGATTATTGCGAATAGGGTTATAAATTGTGAAACCCCGCAACAGTGTTAAGAGATTATTGCGAATAGGGTTACAAAGTATGAAACCCCGCAACAGTGTTATAATTAATTGTAGGTTGTTAAATAAACCAACCAACAATCTGAACGGTGTCTTCAGTAACGAAAACATGCTACAATATGTTATAACTGTCACTGAATGGTAGTACTTTTTGCACTGAAGATATACATGTAATTATTTAGTATTTACTGAAACAAGTGACAAACAAAAAGTAGAAAATGTGATGTCTAGAGTAATATAAATTTGAATGGTTAGGAGGAAAGAGGAAGTAGGAACCATTTATAGACCTATATGTGATTGTGTGGAAAAACATCTTAAAGTTTTATGTCTGCCTTGACTAATGACCTAGGGTAGTTCAGTAAGCAAAATGGCTGTGAGCCAGACAACTAGGATTTGCATGAGAGGGGATACAATTTTTCTCATTACCTTGACATCAAAACCAACTCTGGAGCTCAAGCACAATAGACCACCGTAGGTCACAGTGCAAGGGCTGAGAAGGCCCACCCCTTATACATTCAACTCGGGAGCTCACCCAGCCTTCTGTCAGCTGGGCTCTTGGCTGAACCTGTTCTGTTATGTCATTGTAGCCTAATGGTGAAGAAAGTGTGGAGCTTTACCTCTATTCCCCTTAAGCCACCATCTCCATATTAATATTAGGCACAGGAATAATCAACCAGCAATGAATATTGTCCTTCATACAAAGGGGCATTACATCTTCAGATATTCTTCCTTTATCAGACTTTAACACTAGACAGATTTCAAGTTTCATCAGCATGCAGTACATCAGATTTTTTAGAAAGATCTGTTATGGTTGGCAGTTTATGATTTATCCAGAAGATAATAACTGTACTTAATTATAGTTTATAGTTTTACTGTATATATTGTAAGTCTGAATGATATTATTTAATATGTGGGAAATTTGGTATTTTTTCATGTTTTTCATTGCTTATGCAATGAAGTGGTTGGAAAATGGTGTTGTGTCCAGCATTCAGGTGTAAGTGGTAAACAGATACAATTGAATAAAGATTGTCTTCAAACAAAATACATTTTTCATTGGATTTTTCCATCCTGATCTGTCCCCAGCACTTAACAAACTGGTGAAAGTGGTCCAGCTTATTCCACTAAATTGGATTCAGATTGATATGGATAAAATAACACCCATAATTCTTAATGGAATCCCGAAGTAGTGAAGAAGTTGGCGCTCCCCAGATGAAATAATTTGCTCCATTTTTATAGAAAGTTTCATTGAAAAACCAAAGTTCAGCTTATGGATTGGTTTGATATGAATAATGTCCATGAAACAAGAAAATAAACCCAAACTTGTGTAATATTCCAGAACTTTTTAGTGGGTGCCCAAATTGTATCATGGAGCCAAGAGAGCTCAGTTGGCATACCATCAGGCTTCATGCTGGACAATGCAGGGATCAAAAGGATCAAAGGGATCCTAGAAGGGCAAGAGGTCATCCTCATCTTTATATTGTCCAGATGTTCTGGGGCTAAACCAACCTATACAAGGGGTATTGTGGCTTGTCCACCCAGGGGAACGAAGGAGACCCCTCATAACTCTGTAGTCCTGAGGTCACAAATGGAGCTATGCCTTTACTCCTGTTTACATCTTCATGGCATAGTGTGCAGTTAATGAATTCAAGTGCCACCCTTGCCTTAAAGTTACCCACCCAGTTTCCGTGTTGGAAGGAACACTGTGTTTTACAGAGGTTTTCTGTGGTTGTCTTCATTTCCTCCTGGAAAATCCTGTAATAGGGCCTCAAATTAGACTGGTACCTGCGCCATATCCGATACAATTCATTCACTATTTGCCCAATAATTTGGTGTCATATTCTCTGGGCTGCTGAGACTACTGGCAAACAAAATATAAATAGAATGTTTCCGGGCTGGATTCATGGAGGTTAAATTCTCTGATCATCTCTTCCGACCATGTCAGAATGAGATTTAGAGGGGAACAAATATTTAATAATAAGGGAATGCGCACAATGTGCATAGAGTAATTTTTTTCTATTCGCGACTGTATTCGGTTATTGATGTGGTTAAGTTTTTGCATATGGTAATGTGGTATCTACTGCACTTTTTATCACAGTGTTTACACACACACGCGTCATTTGCTTCGTGGAAACGTTCGTTCTTGCATATCTTGTGGTGGAATCCGTGTGTTGCCAACCTAGTAATTGTGTGTCGTAATTTTCTGTTGGGTCCTGTCCAGGTTCTGTCAGTCATTGCATCAGTGCTGTAGAACTCTTCCCATATTTCCTCTCTTTTTTGTTTTCTTTCTTTGATAACTTCCTCTGAGTTTTTTGTGCTTGGCAGTTGATATCTGAGTTCTTCTAATAGGAAATTTTCCTTGCAGAGTTCGTATGTTAGTCTGGATTGTGTGATCAATGATTATTTTACCCTCCTTAGTCGTTATGCCTTCGCAACCTTAGCTGCTAGATGGCACAGCGGCACTTTTGACGCAACCACACTTTTGACACAACCAATCTTCCACGNACCCATAGTTCACAAGAATAGCAATAAATAATTTCGCAACCAAATCTCTTGTGCTTATTTATTTATTTATTTCATATCATATCCATGGATCATTGTACATGATATAGGACAAGTCAAATACTTTACAATACAATAAGTAATAATAATAATAATAATACAATATATAACACAATGATATAATAGTATACAAAGATAATAAAATTGTATCCATATATGGAGAGTAACAGTGGTAATAGTGAAATGGGATCGTTAGCATGCAATTTGGGTATAAATAGTTTCTTGCAAGGTTTCCCGTGGTATGTATTATTGTTTCTATTGCATATAGTTTTACGTTTTAGGGGTGTAATAGTTTTATAAATTGTCTTAATTAGGTCAAGGGTTCAGTATCGTTAGGCCGAAAGCTACAACACTGTGAGAACCTGAAATATATATTCGTAGGTGATCAAGAATAACTTTGATTTGGAGATTAAGAAACTGGGAAGCACACAGAGGAAGTTTGCAGGTGTAGGTAGCATTCGATTTAACGGTCGCATTTGCCTTTTCTTACCATTTACCATTTCTCATTGACCTTTAGACGAATTTCATGTCCATCGTATTTTGGACTTGTGAAATATATGTTTGTATGTATATATGTATGTAATGTTTGAAATTGTAGACCATTTCCATACATCTCGTCACCTTATTTCTTTTTTGACGTTCCGCTCTCGAGACTGTTTTTGTGTGCCCATTGAGTATGTAGGAACTTCCATTTCATTCCATTCTTTATTTTTGCATACATATCCATACAGGTTAACAAACCAGGATGTGGAAATAGTCTTTGTGAATACAGATACATCAACATGCATATGCAAAATTGCACGAGTCAATCAAACAAAGAGACTTACATCGATCTATAAACATAAATAATATTATAGGGCAAAAGAATTTAATAAGATTTCATTTAATAGACATACTTAAAAAATAACCTACTATAAAACTTGTATTTACACCATTTCATATAAAATACCCATATTAACTAAAACAAATACAGTAAAAAATTACACACCTATGACCCATTATGTTTATAATATCAGCATCATATTTAACTCCATAGATCCATACAGTATGTGACTTATGTAATTTATTACATGTATACTTCTATTATCAAAATTACACACCTCACATCTTAGGTTTTTTGCCTGTATGGATATATGGAAAATAAAGAAAATGAATGAATGAAAGTATATACTTCAAAACACATTTAAAACTGTTAAAATTCTAATTTCTATATTCAAATTTATTATTTATTCATTTATTTCATTTCTGTTAATCCAGGCTGATACAACCGTTGGATATAGAGGAAGTCAAGGAACATGCAGTCATAAAGAGATTCTGTCAAAAATAAATATAAGATTCATAAGCAAATATAAATATTACAAAGTAACAATTTAAAAAAATTATAAATATAGATAATATTTTGAATTAATAAACGGATAAAACAATTCAACTTATCTAACTTTGTACATAAAAAGTTATATATAATACGGGAATGCGCACAATGTGCATAGAGTAATTGTTTTCTATTCGCGACTGTATTCGGTTATTGATGTGGTTAAGTTTTTGCATATGGTAATGTGGTATCTACTGCACTTTTTATCACAGTGTTTACACACACATGCGTCATTTGCTTCGTGGAAACGTTCGTTCTTGCATATCTTGTGGTGGAATCCGTGTGTTGCCAACCTAGTAACTGTGTGTCGTAATTTTCTGTTGGGTCCTGTCCAGGTTCTGTCAGTCATTGCATCAGTGCTGTAGAACTCTTCCCATATTTCCTCTCTTTTTTGTTTTCTTTCTTTGATAACTTCCTCTGAGTTTTTTGTGCTTGGCAGTTGATATCTGAGTTCTTCTAACAGGAAATTTTCCTTGCAGAGTTCGTATGTTAGTCTGGATTGTGTGTTCTTAGGAAGCCCTAGCGCTAGTTTAAGGTATCTTGCCTTCACTTGTTCCATTTTCCGCAGGTTTTGTTTGGATAGTTTTTCCCAGGTTATCTCTATGCCATATAGTAGTATGGGACAAATTTTTGCATGGAATATTTTCATTGCTGTTTCTAGCGATAATAGTTGCAGGTTTCGGATGGTGTATATAGCTTTGATGGCTGCTGTGCATTTTTCTGTTATGTGTGCTGTGAATGTTGTAGATGTAGACTGCAGTGTTAAGCCGAGGTATTTATATTGTTTTACTGATTTTATGTGTTCTCCATTAAATTTTATTTCATCATTTTTTCCTTTTCTTCCTCCTTTTCTGAAAGTCATTAGTTGGGTTTTGTTTTTATTTATTTGAAGTTTGTTTTGT